TATGTATCACTTAAATCTTCAAGTTGAAATGCTCTTTGAAACACGAGCTTAAACTATAGGTCCCTTAAATCTTCAAGTTTGAGTTAAATCATTAAGTTGAAATGCTCCTTGAGACACGAGTCTAAACTGTATATCATAAAGCTCTTTAAATTTGATTTAAATCTTCAAGTTAAAATGCTCCTTAAGCTACGAGCCTAAACTGCTTGTCACTCCTGGCCCGCAAGAGTATAAACTGTGTACGATACAACAAAAAAATCACTCATTCCTCCAAAACTACGTTGCGACTTGATCCTTTTCATTGAGGTACGTAGGCACTTAGAACCATATTCTATGTTCAGTTGCATGAGTGTCGAAAAATCAAATGTTCCCACTTGATCTGTTACATGAGTTAAAGCTATGAGTAAGCTTTCATAAAACTTCAGACTTGCGCCAAATGGTGGTGACTCAATGGGGGCAAACCCTTATAAATAAAATTGTTTCAAGATGAAGTTTTAAAATCTCCAAGTATGCAAGTTGAAGTCTTCAAATTCTTCAGGCTTAGTCTTTGAAAGATAAAATATTTCGATAAGACTTGAAGAAGGGGGCATTTGTAGTCACTTAATATTTATTAAATATAAATTTATAAAGTTGTTCGAATTATATTAAATTAATAAACATATTAGTCCAAATAAATATTATGGATTAATATAAATTGATTTAGTTATTTAAATTCAAATAGATATAAATTTAATTAAAGTCCGCTCCATAAAGCTCATATGATATTTCACTTAAATCTGATTGGCCGAAGGGAGTCATGTTCCAATCGCAACTCCTCTATTCTAAAACTATAAATAGGGGTCTCATAATTCAGAAAAAGAGAAAGAAAATTCTAAACAAGAAGCTAGATAATATCCGTGGTAATAACGCCATTTAATTTCCTACAAAGTTATAAGTTTAAGAATTCAAGCATTTAAGTTCAAGAACGATCAAGATCAAGACCATCGAATTCAAGAACAAATTTGAAGCCCTTGAATTCAAATAAAAGTCAAGATCAGATAAAATTCAAGTTCAAGTTCATTAGATATTCAAGAAGAAGCTTTAAAACCCTTGAGTTTATATTTGAAAAAGCGAATTCGAGGAATTATAGAGATTGTAACATTCACATTTGAAATGATAAAATTGATTGTTGCAATAATCCTCCGTTCTTGATTATTGTTTTCTCAACGAGAATTTTACTGTCTACAATTATATATATATATATATATATATATATATATATATATATTTATTTATTTATTTATTTTAAAAGAAATTTCTTATGGTTATCATTAATTTATTTATTGATGGACCTTCCTTACTACTGGAGTATCTTTTAGATTTTGCCTCTGCTTTCAGGTTCCATTTCAATTATTGTTTCATCTTATTTTATGTTTATTTAAAAATAATAAGTATAAAATATAATTTCTAAATTATTAGATTTTCTTGAAAGGTATTTATTAAATATTACAAATTATAACTGAAGACTAGAAATAAGTGTTCGTGCCCAATATATGTTATTTTTTGTTTCATTTTATGTGACACAGATAAAATTTAAAGAGTTGATTAAATTATAATATGATTTTAAATACTTAAGTTATTAATTATTGTAATTTATAATATTTTATGTAAATTTAAATAATATATGTTATTTTCCTTGTACCAATATATATGACACAAATATAATTCAAAAGTCAATATGTTGATAATTATCGCATGGAACCACACATGTGAAGCAGACATATTAGTTGTCTCTTGTGATGTTAAGATGGAACAATTAAAATATGAATAAGAAATATTTACATATACGAGATGTCAAAAGCCTCAAATCAATAAATAAGCTGAAATTAATCAAAGACCTCTACTAATTAAAACACAAATTTTCAAGGTGAAAATTTCGTAAATCAATATCGAAATAATACTCCCTGCGTCCACTATTACTTTTCATACTTTCCATTTTTAAAATCAAATTATAAAAATTTTGACTAACATTTTACAATATATTTTTTCACCATATTGATATGCAAAAAATTGTAATATAGTTTTGAGTATCTAAATTCTTTGGTTAAATATCAAATTGATGTAATCTAATTTAACTTTAAAAATTAGTCAAATTGGCTTTCGAAAAACGTACCATAACAAATAAATATAAATGAAAAAAAAGTTAAAATTAAAACAAAAATAAAAAATGATGTTGGCAAAATTTGAATCCAAACCTTGAGGTTGAAATATAAAGCCTACTCTAATAGGCTAAATAGGCTAAATAGTGTGTGTAAATAAGTATACAACTAAAGCAGACATGTTATCTTTTAACTGTCTGCGTAAGTATTTTATACAAGTATAGTAGATATCTTTTTTAGCTAAAGTAGTTACTACTCTATTTATTTTTGGGAGAAGGATCAAATATGCCCCTAAACTATTTGAAAAGGTTTAGATATAACCTCCGTTTAAAGATTGGTCCATTTATACCCTCGTCGTCCAAC